TTGCGAAAGTGCCAGCAAAAGCGACATTAGCGTAGACAGCGACAGCAATTTCATACAACTCAGCACACCGATTTCCAGTGCAACACGTCTATCACAAATCAATGATCTACTACAACACAATCGCCATACAACCGCCACACTGGTGTCCGTCTCACACACGACGTGTTTGAGCGCAAATGGTGGCAACAACACCGTCGTCAGCAGCCGCACCGTCACTACCGATTGTGATTACAGCGACAGCAATAGTCAAGATGCGGTACAAAGCGAGACATTAGTCGAGTTAAAGGCCGAAAATTTGGAAGCCGCAATACAAACCAAACCAACACAATCCACAAACTCAGTCGAGTCGACGAAAAGTTGCGCCACAAATGCTACAGCCAAACCAAGTGTGGAGCCCGATAAAGCGGAAGCGTTGGAAGCACCACAAATCGTTGCAAACGCTAGCCATAATGCCACAGAAGACGCAAACATACCTATGGGTGCTGATGTCGATAGCATTGCTGCAACAAGCCACAACACGGACGAGGTTACGAAAACGCTTAGTCAAGCGGATGCCTTGAACGGCGTTGGTAGCACGGATAGCGACGATCAATCTGAGCAATCAGAGAACGGCACTGTTGTGACTGCAACTGCAGTCTGAGCTGCTGTGACGGTTACAGGCGCTTGTTGAAAGGCGATGGCAACACAAACACAAAGACACTCAACAATCAGCTGCTTTGCAGGCACTCACAATCTCACACCTGCGGCAGCGCCGCGCTTTCTGCGTCACTCTTAGCAATTTTTAAGACAAGACTTGATTTCTATTAGCCTCTAGTTGTGGTAAGCGTAAAACGGTATGAGGAAAAGCACATTGGCAGCATACGAAAAAAAAGGATATAAAAAAAAAAATTAAGCGGATTTTTTTAAGTGAATTTTGCCGCTATCGAACGTTAAAATCGAAATCATATATATATATGAAAAATATTTACAAAAAAAAAGTAAAAGCAAGAAACAATTATACTTATAAGCTAAGCTGACTAGCAGCCGTAATGAATGAATGAATTTTTTGTAGCCAAGCAGCAATCTGCTTCGATAAGTAATGTTAAGTTTTTCTTCTTTGTTGCACTCACTACTCACGAGATAACTTATGTATAGAATTTGTATAAAAAAACAAGACACACACACACTATGACACACACGCAATTAGTAATTTCCACCACAGCATTGACTGTTTGAATTAACTTGTGGTATATACATACATACATACCTATATAATATATACTATAGTGTTAATTAATGTACATATATAATATATATATATATATATGTAAACAAGTTCATATTCCTTTTTAAATTATGGCTAATAAATGAAAATACTACTATCTATAATATTATGCATATGTGTGTTAAAGCAATGTGTGTGTGGTTATGTAACCTCCCTCAAATTTTGTTGGCTTTTAAGTTTTTTTTATGCTTATTTAATTTTTTTTTATTTATGTGTGTTGGCAGTTAATTCCATATTTAGCAAATATAGCTGCGGAAGGCATTTGTATCGGTGAATTTTAAAAATATTTTGCAAAACACTCTTAATTGTTTTATTCTTCTTGTTATACTACCGAATTGAAAAGCACAACAGAACGGATAGTGTTTTGTTTATAATGGTATTTTATTGGAAAAATAACGAAATTGGAGTAACCTCACTCCATAAGTTTTCATCTTCACCTTGTTTGAACTCACCATAAGGCAGCTTTGTTTAACCGACAAATTTGTTTTCCATTTTTTGGGAATTTTGAAAATTTAATTGCCTTTTTAGCAGCAAACGTTAAGAAAAGCAATCAAATTTGTTTAAATTTTCTCAATTTTTTTATTTTATTTTCCTATTTTTATTTTTGACTTTTTTGTTTTTTCTTTTGAGACACAGTTTTTTTTTACAGTGTACATAACATATGGAGGTTTATTTTTGCTTTTATTTTTTCAAAAATTATAAAAAGCCACTATTGTTTTCAATAAACATATGAAGATCAATTGAAAAAGAAAAATTAGCTGAATATTTGAATAACTTCAACACAAGCATACACAAAAGTCTTTAAACTCTGCTTCCCAGTGTTTCTGTAACTTTTTAAATCTAACTTCAAATCCTAAAATATTTTATTTAATTTTGATGAAATATTTTTTTAATATATATAATAAAAAATATTTTATTTAATTTTTAATGAAATATTTTTTAATTATATTTTTTTATTACATAATTTTTTTAATTAAATTATTTTTTTATTAAATTATTATTTTTTATTCAATTTTTTTTATAAAATTATTTTTTTATTAAATATTTTTTTTATTAAATTATTTTTATATTAAATTTATTTAAATTTCGCTGTTTCTCTGCCTCAACACACGTCTTTATTTTATTGTATGTACATAAGTTCTAAGTACTATTGCTTCCAACTAATTAGCTTACAGGTAATTATAATTTTTTGTTTCAGATTATTAGCATAAGCCGGTCTAAATGAGTTAACTGATAATTAATTATTACTATTATTATAAAATTATTGTTTGCTGATTGGGGCATTCGGCGCAATGAAACGATTTTTGAAATTAATAAAATAAGACTTCTGCTAAAATTTGTGTTTTGTGTTTATTTTTTGATCCTTTGTTTTATGGCATTTTGTTAGTTTTTAATTCTCCTGGTTATAAATAATTATAATTTTTATAAAGCAACATATTGTTAATTAAATAAATATGTACACATAAATGAAATAAAGAATTTTAAAATATTAAATTGAAAAATATAACAATCAAAACTCAGTTACAAAATATATTGGAATCGAAAATGTTCTCGGTCATTCACTAAATAATTGTGTTTGGTGAATTTTTTCGCAACCAACTTCACACTTAACCGATTTGCCGTTATATATTTGAACAGCTGATCTAGTAAGGCTTTTTTGACTAAAAAAAATTTTTTTTGGAATAATTTTTACTCTGTGTTTGCTTGTTTTCGAAGATGGAAGATCAGAAACCACATTTTCGGCATTTTTTACTCTTTTACTATCAAAAGTGTAAAAATGCTCCAGACTTGGCACCTTCAGTCTATTACTTCTTTTGGTCTCTGCAAAATTTTGTGTATGGGAGAAGCAACCTTCCCCTCAAATTAGAAATAGAAATTAGACGTCAAAGGCAAATCGGACCAGTTTTTTGCCTACAATGTTCCAAAATTATATGAACGGTGAATCAATCTCTTAACCGAAAGATAGCAAAAGGTATTGGTTTGAAATGGAAAATAAATAATTTCGTAAAAGCTTTTACACAAAAAAATTGCGTAAATTACACTAAGAAAACGAGACCACTTAGTGAACGACTGAAATATTAATAAGCACTTGTAACACTAAAAAACAAAAAATTTATAATAATTAAA